GACCTCCAAAGAATACTACAAGCTTTTAACAGACAGGCAGAAAAACTTAACATGCAAATTTCCACAAATAAGACCAAATGCATGACCATTACAAAGGAGCCTCTACGGTGCAAATTGGTAATAAAATACAAAACTATTGATCAGATAATGTCATTCGAATACCTCGGATGCAAAATTACAAGCTCAGGATTCCTGGAAGAAGAAGTAAGGAAACAAGCCAATAAAGCTGCCGCAATATCAGGACATCTTAAATATCCCATATGGAAAAACAAACATTTGAGTACAGAATGTAAGTCAAGAATATACAAAACCTGCATACGACCAGTGATGACATATGGTGCGGAAACCAGAGCTGAAACATCAGTAACAAAGAGAATCCTACGAACTACTGAAATGAAGACCTTAAGAATGATAACTGGATACACATTGAGGGACAGACAGAGAAATGTAGACATAAGAGAAAAGTGCCAAAAAACGACGTTGTCAGATGGATAAGGCAGAGAAGAAGAGAATGGAACCAGCATGTCAATAGAATGGGCCCCGACAGAATGGCCATAATAATTCGCAATAACGTACCCCATGGCAGAAGACCTACTGGACGACCACCTAAACGTTGGCAAGACAGTTGGCAGTCAACCTCGCAAGAGTTGCTTAGACGAGGAGGAAACCGGAACTAAACAGGCGATACGCCTTCTAAAAGAAGAAGAAGAAGACACGGAGATTTGTCCTAGTTTTCTTAGTTCCTGTATATTTTCTTAGTTCCTGTATACGTAAGTCGAATTTTAAAAGTTTGACTGAATTAATTCCGTTTTTGCCATTTTTTATTTTTTTATTGAGGTTGCGCCATAATAATTCCAATAACGCTTGTTAGGAAACTTTTATTTTGCAGCTCTAATAGTTCAGTCTCAGCTTCCCGTTTTAACGATTGTCGAAACAACATTCGAAATTATAATTAGAAAACTTTCTGAACTGTATATTAAACGTCTTTACTTTTCATGTTTAATCTGTAGAGTAGAGGTATTGGAAAAAAAACTTAAAAAGTTTCACAGGAAGGTGTGTATAAAGGTGAAGACACACTTTAATTCTACAGACTAGTTTTTAATGCTCTCATGTTCGAAAGGGTTGCCAACCTCCCTATTGCACAAATTTATTTTTTGTTCAATTTGAGAGATATAGCTTTCAGACTACCATTCGAGACGCATTGATGTTATTTTGGTTCATGAGTTTTGCGACAAAGTGTTTTTAAAGGTAAAGTAAATGTTTTCTCATTATTTAACTATTGTTAACTAAAGAATATATTTCATTTTTGCTGTTGTGATTCTGTTCTAAAGCATTCTTTATTTATTTGATCTAACAAAGAAATATTAAAATGTGTATAAACTACATAACATGTGTTTGAATTTAATGGAATCTATTTATGCTGTAAATAATTTCAGTTTAAAAGTAATCTAAATAAAATCGTTTACTGTTCCTTCGTGCCGATGTTTGTGGTTTGTGGGAATAAGGGCCTTGTTGAGTCTACTAATATTTCTTGGCCGTGCATGGACGAATATCTTAGCTCGCAAAAGGGCAACCAGAAACAACAAATATAATTACTTATGATCTAAAGATATTTGTACCAAACCTTCAACTTTAGCGTCGATCTCCGCAACCAGGGACTTCGTCAAGTCTTGACGACAAGTCTAGGAATTTCGAAATATTTTAAGTTTGATACAAACACATTGTATCATACATACGTCGTTAAACATGATTTACATCTTCTAAAAGGTTAAATATAGAGACAAATATGTGACGAACAACTTTAACGGAAACATACGATGTTATGCCGCCGCGGTATCAAGGTAGGGTATTCAAGTTTCGTCTTGCACACAACATAATATTAGATAAGCGCAAACTTCGTGTTACCCTGCCGAAACACGTAGCCACGAACGTCGACCTGGAAAGTTCCTTCCAGCATTCTCACTTTGACATTCTCTAAAGGAAAAGTTCGGAAATTTTATTTAGAGTTTGTCCTGTCGGCCTTTGAAATTCTTGCGTCAGTATTTTGTTGTCTACGGCAAGCATACTGTTTCAATGAAATTAAGGAATCGAGAATCACATCTTTGTGAATTATGACAATATACACTCAGATGCAAAAAGAAACGCAACGGAGAAATTTTGGGTCAAATTTTTTAAAGTGTTATATTTTTGTTACTTTTAGCCCTATTTTCATGAATTTTTTAGCAAACTGTATATAATTATATCAACTTTAATTCGTAAACCTAGTTTTTTTATATACTTTAGTATTTGGCATATTATACAGGGTTAATTGAGGGGTTGTTTTTTTACTCTAACTTTAAAACACCCTGTGCAATCATTTCGTATGTAAATTTTCCTAAAATACACACACCGGAAAAGTCTAAGGATATTGCAATTTTATCCAGCCATCGTCAGTAATTTTATTATTTGCATTTCTGATATAATAAAATTAAAATAAACAAATAGTTTACAGGACGTATTGGAACTAAAAATGCAAAATTTACCGAATTTTTCAAATTTACCTTGATTTTTATTGAACTCAAAAAAATACACACATTTTTTTTTATTCTAAACTGTGAATTAAAAAAAAAGAAAAAAACATTTTTACTTAATAAAGGGTACGGCCTCCTCTACTGTTCATTACAGCCCTGCATCGTCTCTCCATGCTCCTCATCAGGTTGTCGATCTCTTCTTGAGGTACCGCCTGCCACGCTGCATTCACGGCCCGAACCAGATCCCTACGAGTTTCACGAGGCATATCCATTCTCAAAATTCTTCTTTGGACCGCCTCCCATACGTGCTCGATGGGGTTGAGGTCAGGAGATTGTGCCGGCCAGGGTAAGATGTTTAACTGATGAGCATTGATAAACTCACTTACCACTCTGGCTGTATGAGGCCGTGCATTGTCATGCATGGGAATGAAGTTTCTCCCAAAATCATTGGCATATGGTAACACGACAGGCTCAAGAATTAAATCACGATATGTGATTCCTGTTAGAAACCTTTCAAGAAAAACGAGATCGGTTTTTCGACCTAACTGGACTCCTCCCCAGACCATAACTGTTCCACCTTGATAATGGTGCACTTCCTGAACATGATCCAACGAATAAGATTTCCCGGTTCTCTCCATACCCTAAGCCTTCTCGAATCCGGATGAATTACAAAGCGTGACTCATCTGTGAAGAGAACATTGGCCCATTGTTCATTCGACCACTGAACATGATTTTGAGCCCACAAATATCGTACCTCTCGATTTCCTCTCGTTAAGGGTTGAGCTCTCCAGAGGCGTCTGCTTCTTAAGTTAACCTCTCTTAATCAATTGCGAACAGTGTCAAGACTAAAGGTTACATTATGTGTTTCCTGGAGAATTAAACTAAGCTCTGGTGCTGTAAGAGTCGGTCGGCGTCGAGCATTTAATTGTAAAAAATGATCTTGCTGAGGGGTAGTAATGCGATGTCGCCCTGTGTGCCTTTCAGCAACATCACCATTTTCACGGTAGCGTGCACTTAATCGCGATATTACACTTTGCGTTGTATTTAATGCTCTAGCTACGTCGATTTGGCGCATTCCAGCTTCGAGCATACCCATGGCCCTTAGCATTTCGTCTCTGTTAAGATGTCTACGCTCCATAATGTCGTTTAATACTAAACAGAGTTATTTGAATGAATTCTGGCCAGTTATCATAAAAACATAGCCAGTACAGGTTAAATTCGAACAATTGATGCTAGGTGTTTTTTATACATTTGACAAAAAATGCACAAACACTTGCAAATATCCCAAATTTAGAAATAACTAGTGTGACTACTTCGTTTCAATCGAAGTAGAAAGAATCGGCCTACAAATATGTGGTTGTTTATTCAAAACATTTATTTTTAACTTTAATAAAATGATATCCCTAGATTTTTCCGGTGTGTATATATTTTAAGGTTAGAACCATGTCTCCTGAGCTTTTTGTTTTTTGGATCATGTCTTGGTTAATTTTTAAGAGCGAAATGAATTTGCCACCAACAATTTGCAATTTTTTTATTTATCATTTCTTTTTGAAGAATTTTTCAATATGACAAGGTGGTTTTGGTGATTATTGTGAACTATATATTACTATGAACTGTCCATCATGTTCGACGTTTGGGAAATGCTTGGTAGGAGGGTTAGAGGCCGTTAAGCGGTACCAGCTTCATTAAATGAACTTCGCTTGGTCCTTGAAGAAGAATGGGAAAACATAAAGCAATATGATATATGCAGTCACAATGACAGTATGAACGGAAGTTTACACGCAGTTATAGGAGCCAAGGGAGGCAATACAAAGTATTAGGGTATTTCTTACAATTTTTTTTTCTGTTTGTATGCTTGAGTATTACAGATGTTTTCTTTAATATCGTTATTTGGGTTATCGTTATATGTGTTTATTAAAACCACGACTGTATCGTTAGTCCTTAACGTTTTTTTTATTTAGTATAGAGTATCTAATGCAGCGTAATATAACGTTACGACAATAGTTTATATATAATAGTTACACATTTTTTCGGCAAAATAACACTGTCGGACAAATGTCAGTAAAAATAACAGTGATATGACTCATAGTACAAAGAAAACAAGGTATGATCGATAGCGGCCCCAATTTCGTTCAGTTTGCGCATATCACCTGTGACGTCATATGCCATAGAAAAAAATATCCATATTGTTCAATTGCGACTAATAAAAAAAGTCTACCAATAGGGAAGAATTAAGACATAACCCCAAAAGTTATGTCAAATCATCGAGCTTGACATTTGAAAAATTATTTTCACATTTATTATGTGTCATCTGTTTGACAATTTGAAATTGGCGCGCGGAGCTTGCCGACCAATGGTGCCGTTTATCACTTGTGACGTAGTGACCAACCTGCGCAATATCATACCTTGTTTTCTTTGTAACATGGATCATGGGTATGACTTTTTTTAATACAATATTTAGTTACATTGCAGAAATAATACAAAACTCACTTGTATTTTTATTTGCAGTTATAGGATGGAGTGGATCGGGAAGCAGCGGTTCCGACTTGCAGGGCCCCGTGTTCATCATCGAACCCGCTCATCACGTGGAATTTGGGGCAGCCACAGGCGGAAGGATCGACTGCGCCGGCCACGGCAGTCCCTCGCCTAACGTAGAATGGATAGCCGTGGATGGCACGCCCATAAGCCAGGTAAAACTCATCCTAATATTCTTGTTTGCTGTAAAATTTAATAAAATATAACATAGATTTACCACAGTACACACTAAAATACTTTACCTTTAACACTGGACGCTGTTATTATTCTCTGAGATTGGCTTTGAGTGCTTTCTTCACCAGCGTAATCCTAGCCTGCTATGTCTCTCTGAAATTCCTTCTCATAAATATCGTCGTCTTTTACTTCTCCTTCACTATGACGTCTCTTTTTTCTCACCCACAAACAGAGATATACAAGATACCTCATAAAAAGTATCTGAAAAATACAAGTACCTAACAATATACTACTAATAAGGCGCGGTCTCTTCAGTTATAAATAAATAACTTTTATCTAACAAATAACCATCTACAAGATAAACAATCTAGAGCCTGATATCTATAGGATATAACATTTGGGTATTTTCATACAAAATAATCCAATACATAACAATTTGGAGGACGGCCGCCTACGGACCGGTAGACACTCCGTAGAGAAAGTGTTGCCAATATAATATATCTGAAATTGAGATGGTTATATATGAAAAGTCGATACAACAGACAGAGACAAAAACTCGGAATTTCAAATCGTTAGATTAAAAAGTGAGGTTATTGTTCAATTGTCAAAAGATCGTCAAAATGAAAATAAAAACAATACAATTCAACTAAAATATATTTTGTGTTCAACTCCAACTAGTCCTATTATAGTATAGGCTATTTAAATTTACCTTTATGGAAAAAGGGAAAGATAATTCAATTTCAGCAGTGGTGGTGGTGCAATAGATCTATTGATGGAATGCGATTTATAAGAAATTAAAACAAGAAAAAATAATCTGTAAGTAATTTATAGTTTAATTACATGATATTACTGTTATATTTATTATATTAACATTTTAGTACAATTGATAATAGAAAATATGGAATTTGGTGAAGTGCAAGCAGAGATTTATAAACCAATCCTAAAACCACCATCTGGTAAGTTATTAATATTGAAAATTAAAAATAGCATAAGACTGTTAGTAATAACAAATATGTTGTTCTAGGGCTTCTCATAGTAAAGAAATAGGTAGGATAGCATCAATGATAGTAATTAAGGTGAGTTTTTATTTTATAAAATAGATAAATGCACTTATACTTTTGTCTTAATAATAATAAATGAATAGTACCTATAATAATTGTTACATTTACACATTATATATATAAATTATTTAATAAAAAACATTCAATAAAAACAATTTTGTCATATTACTTTTATTTTTAAGAACTCAAAGTGATCGAACTTCAAAAAAAAGAAAAAATAAAGGAAAAATCTTGTCTAAACAAAGTTGAACTAACTGGAATTCAAAGGACCACAATACAGGTATTTTAGCAAGGTTTAGCTAGAGAGTTACTTAAAAAACAGCATGGAGAAGAGATGTACCGTATGATCGAAAAAAACGGCGTCAGCAATGGCTATGAAATAAAGATTGCTGTCATTTCATATGTAAATTTATATGGGAAATATTATCGATCATCATTTCCCAGCCAACTGGACGCCGTTTTTTTTCGATCATACGGTATAAGGTACATAGTGCAAGAAATTAAACTAAAATTGTAACACAAAAGAAATAAAAGCAAATGTGAGTTGAATAACAGGTTTTATAAGGTTCCTGTTATAATATTAATGAATTAAGATATGCGAATTAAAAAAGAAATAAATAGTTTGATTTAAAAAGTTTTATTTATTTTTTACCTACTTTAAAGCTTTATTAAAAACTAGTAGAAGCCTGGCGCATCCGCCACGAGATCAGGAAAAAAATACTTTTTATTTTTTTTTAATTAAATGAAAAACAAAAAATCCGGCGACGACAGTTTTTAGAAGAGCCATTTAGCTATCTTTTAGTAAAAAAAGCAACTTTCTAGAGCAAGTCGTTACTTCAGTAGAGACGACAAAGATAAACATTAACATTTTATATAATATGTAGTAATGGTTTATAATTGAAAGGATTTAAATAAAATAATTTATAAATTACTGTTTTATCACTATTATCCTAACTTAACGCATTCTCTTCGTTCTGATGCTCTAACAAAACAGATACTCTCTTTATTTTGTAACAGTCCTTATAAAGTCCGACACTAGCAACAATAGTTTTTTGCACCATTTCAATGTGTTTATTGGTGTTTATACGTCATATGTTCTAAAATGATTATAGTCTACATACTCAGAATAGGTAAGTCTTTTCCAAATAATCTAAAATCGAATTTATTGGAATAAACGAAATCTTCAATAATAACAATGTCTTGGTTATGTTAAGCAATTTTGTCAAATATCAAATAAAATCAATATCTCCTCATGCCTTTGCTCATGCGTCAAATTTTTATCCGACAAATAAAGCACTATTTGGCAGTTCGGGCGCCAGATAGGATATCTGGGAGATAAGTTTAATTTATCTAATAGATACTGTTATCTATAAGTGAAGATACGCGTTTTTCTGCTATCCGTCAAATAAAATATATCTGGCAGATTATAACACGCTATCCGTACCTGAAAACACCGGGGGTAAGCAATACTTATGAAAAAGGTATTTGAAATACTAGATATTAAATACGTATTCTCTAAATACTTTTATAAAATAAAATACTTTACGCACAGAATATTACAACAGGAAAACAAAGTAATATGATCTAGTTAACATTAGTTAAATAATGGGGGCATTTACTTTACCTTTTGTCACAATAACCAAAATTTACAAACAAAGTAACATCAGTGCGTCTCGAACGGTAGTCTAACAGGTATTATTACCTAATACCTATCAACTCTGTTCGTTGTCTGATTTCTCTCTCCCTAGTTTGCAAATAATATTTTAAAAATAAATAATGATTGTACAGCGTGTCTTAAAACTGAATGAAAAACAGCAGGTCATCTCATTATCGAATTTTATTTTTTATCGAATATGTCCAAATATGTCAAAATAAACTCGTAAAAAAACAAGAAAGAAAATTTAAGTTTTTTTGTCATATTTGCGGAAATGGCAAATATAAATTCACCTACTAAACGGATTATTAGTGGGGTCATCTACAGGCAACTTTACCCCAATTTGAGCCACCCTATATCTAGAGTTTAGAGAGTCTAGAGTGGAGAGTCAAGTTTGAAATTATAGATATTTGAAATGGAAATAAGTAAATCTAAAGTAAATATTCTACTTTGTTATCGAAGCATCTATTTAATTATAAAATTTCAAAAAATATTTTACTATTAGCTAATTACATTTCGACTCGCTGTAGCACTGCAGCAATATTCTAAGTACGTTTTTCAAATACGATGTTCCCGTTTAGCCGGAGGCAAAGCAGACGTTGCCTTTCTGAACAAACCAGACGAGTCATGTTACAAAAAGGGAAAATGGAAAATGGAAGGAACGGAAGACTACAATTAGGGATTGCTAAAAATCAACAATTACGTCTATTTCGAAAGTTAAGCTGAGAGAGCAAACGAAAATATCTTATAATTAATTAACAGGTAAAGAATGTTGTTGATCTTCTTTTAACTAAAATTTACACAGTTTTTTTTCCAATACATCTAAATAATAGATATTTACGATACAAATGAGTTAACAGCATCATTAAGACACGTGTGTAAAAGTTGCATAACGAGTGCGTAGCACGAGTTGTGTAATCACACAAGTATTCTAATGAAGTTAACTCGCGTGTATTGTACAATATGTTTTCTACGTCTAATAGGCCTGTCGGCAAGTGCATCGATGGCGGGAACAAATCCGGACAAGCTGGAATATGTTATCCAGTTATTCTTTATTGTTATCCAGTTATTCTTCCGTACATTGTGCATATTATCAATTCATGCATTGAAACTTCCACATTCCCTTTGGGTTGGAAGTATTCATTTCTACTTCCTGTGCCTAAAGTATCCAGTATCACCAGTATGAGTGATCTAAGACCAATAAGTATCCTTCCAACCCTCTCTAAGATATTTGAGAGGGTTCTTGAATCCCACCTGAGAGAATACATAAATAAACATAGTCTCTTGCCTCCGATTCAGTCGGGATTTCGGAAAAACCACAGTTGTACAACAGCATTACTCAAGGTAACGGATGATATTCTGGAGGCTGCTGATCGGGGTGACCTCACTGGTTTGGTTCTCTTGGATTACTCGAGGGCTTTTGATAAGTTGAATCATCAGCTCTTATTAGCAATATTAAAGTTTCTTGGGCTTGAGTGTCGCGCATTGAAACTTGTCGAGAGTTATCTCTCAGATAGGACACAATCTGTAAGATTAAATGGCACGCTGTCTAGTGTTCGACATATTAATTGTGGTGTCCCACAAGGATCAATTCTGGGTCCATTATTCTTTATCCTCTACACATCACAGCTCGATTCGGGTTTGAGAGATTCAACGTCGCTTCGCTTATATGCAGACGACACGCAAGTGTATATGTCTTTCCAACCAGGAAAAATATTGGAAGCCAATGCCATCCTCTCTAGTGAACTTAGTATACTTCTAAAGACATCATCTAATCATTGTTTAGACATTAATCCCAATAAATGTTACGGTCTTTTATTTGGTAGAATACAGGCTAGAGACCAATATGAAAAATTGTTTTCTGTGTCTTTGGACGGAAAGAGGTTGAATAGCTGTAAATCTGCAAGGAACCTTGGTGTGATTATGGATACTCACTTAAGGTTTACTGAACATATTAACAAATGTATAAAAAAGGCCTTCATAAATTTAAAACTGATCTACAATCAACGTTACATCTTAAATCCTAATCTCAAAAAGAAATTATGTGACACCTTAGTTCTTTCACAATTTACCTATTGTGACTCACTATATGGACCGTGTATTTTAGATCATGATGCTAAACGCATTCAACGACTACAGAACTGTTGTATCCGTTTGATAGGCAGTATAAAAAAATATGATACAGGTATCACAAATAAAATGGCGGAAATTGGTTGGCTCAACATGGCTGGGAGAAGAAAATTTCATTCATACTTACTAATTTATAAGATAATCAATAATAAAAGTCCATGTTATTTGTTTGATAAAATTAAATTTAGGTATGATGAACATTCACTGGACTTGCGTCACAAGTTTAATATCGCTCCCCCTATACATCGCACAACGCTGTATGAGAGATCATTCAGTTATCAGGCATGTATTCTTTATAATAGAATTTCTGTAAATCTTAAAATTAACTCTTATTTGAAATTTAAAAGTTCTATACGACAGTTAATATTTAATTCTTCATTTAAATGTTCAGATCTTATAATCTCCCGTCATGCCGCCATTTTAGTTTGTTTTGATTTATTTATTTATCTACTTAATGTACTTACTTGTTAATTACTTTCTGTATAATTATCTATAATACGGGATTAATTATTGGTTGCCTTTTTTTTACTCATAGAATTATTCTCTTTGTGTATCTACCATATATAAATACTTATCAATTATTTCATGTTTCATGTATAAATATTTAATTAATTGATTTTCGGTATATTCTTTCCAAACCAAACCAAACTATGTTATTCTACCCTTTAGTTTTCTATTATAATTATTATTGATTTATTATAATATTTTTATATAATATATATTAATTATGTCTACTAATTAGGGTTAAGTTAGGAAGCTAAGCTTCAACTTCGCCTTTTGTGATTTTTTTAAATTTCGCAATAAAGTCTTTATTATTATTATTTTTATTATTAATAAGTTTTATTTTGGTTTGGTGTCGAGAAGCACGTATTAAATTTGCACTCGCCGTAAAGCCCGGATTTGACCGCCATCTAGGAAAAATTGGCTAAAATTCGGTTTATTTTTCATTATTTGTCAATAACTCGATTTCTATCAACTTTAGTGCAAAATATGTAGAGACCAAAATTAAAGAAGACGAAAAACTCTATAAAAAATTGTATTGTAATTGTATAGTGCGACTACCCAAAGTATCGAATTTTACGAAAACAAAAAACTTGTTTGCTACTTGTTAAACAATAAAAATTTAGTCCAACAATAAAAATTTAGTCCGCAATAACGGACTAAATTTTTATTGTTGCACGATTGGTGGAAAATCAAGTTTAACCGCCTTATCTCTCAGCTGCGTTGAGGTAAAGTACCCGGCGCGTTTTTTTTTTGAGTGGTCTACCCATTTCCAATAGGCCTAATCCACATGTCGTCAACTTAGGTTTCTTTTCAGGTGGAAGGTTCATCAGAGTTCCTTCGTTTTTTTGATGTTACTGGCTGTTCAATATAATCTTCCTGAATGTCTTCCACATCTGTATCATATTCCGGATCTGGTTCATAAGGTGCAGAATATTCTTTTCGTTGATCTTTATCGAGAGGAAAATTGTCCTCGTACTTATCTTCGTCTAATTTTGCCAACTCAAAACTATTCGAACATGATTTGCCCTGACAAAGTGCACACATTACTGAGCAACGCAAACCTGCTTTGCGGTAACTACAAGATGTTTTACAACCTTTGGCACATTTACATAAAATCAGATTTAATAATTCTTGGGGAGCTGCATCTTGGGAAGTAGCAATGGGCATCAACCCATTCTTTGAAATCTTCCATCCCCAATCTAGAGGTGATTTTTCATTCCCATACCATATCTATACCTGACTGTACGTACGGAAGGAGTGCAAACGAGCTGCGTCTTTTGTCGGTGGTAATGATGCTAGGTTTGGTAAGCTTTTGGTAATTTTTGGATTTTACGAAACACTGGTATCTGTACTTATCTAATGAGTCGCATTTTTTGGATCCATATAGATGAAGAAGAAATCGTTCTCCAGCTTTTTCTATATCTTCTGGGGATGCGTTTGCAACAAGTTCTTTCTGCAACCAATAACAGACGACTACTATATAATTGTGTCTCCAGCAGTCGAGCAGCAATCGTACATGACCTTGAGATAAAGATTCCGCTTAACAACAGGAGTAATAGTCTATGAGCTAGTAACGTTTTTGAGAAAGTATTTAAGACGTCTGGCTCTTTGATATATCTTTTATTATGCTCTTTGGAACAGCGTGCAGGCCGTCTGGCTGCCGATATACGTTGCGTTCACTACTGCGCATCCAAAGAATATCCTCTATTTTTTACTTAGCGTTTTAAATTCCGGTGTTGAATAAAAATCGAGCAAGTCTCCATTAGCTCGGCGCGTAGAGCTTTCACCTATGAAGCGAAGGTCAGTGGTTCGATACCGGCTGGGAACTTTTTTATTTTTTTTTTTTCGTTTATATTCTGAGAGGAAAGTATTAAATATTTGCTTTTTTATCACCAGAACGGATAGCGTTTATGGGTTTATGATCCGTAGTGTATATAAGTAGAATTTAATACTTTCATTTGTTTTGAAGGATTATTGTGGTAATTAATTATTAGATAGGTTTAGGATGGTCTGGCTGCCGCGCCGGTAGGTTGCGTTCACTACTGCGCATCACATGGGTACAGGGTGTCTCATTTTCGTGCGTTTTTTGGGATTTGGGATATCTGGGATTTCTCGTTTATGAGTGGAGATAGAATGATGCGTTTTTTTTCACATTACTTTCGCTAGTTTTTTATGTAACTAAATATTCTACCCCTAGATTTGCGCATTTTCTACACATTAACATTAATCAATCTTGTTTAAAATGTATTATTATTTTATTTAATTTAATTTAACCAGATAATTTTGTTTTCTATCGTTATCTTAACAAACTGAACTGAAAATAAACTTGTGTAGCTTTTAGATAACAACTGTTAAAAAAGTATTATTAAAATGATTATTAAAATAATAAACAACAGCTGAAAAAAATATTTTGAAAAAGACAGGCAGAAATTACCTTAATAAAGCATTAAAATGTTAATTTTTATATATTATGTTTAAATCTTTAAAATGAAATTATAAACGAGAAATCCCAAAAAAACACACAAAAATGGAACACCCTGTACACAGGTGATGCGCAGTAGTGAACGCAACCTACCGGCGCGGCAGCCAGACCATCCTAAACCTAAACTAAAACTAAACGGGTAGTCGCGCGGAAAAAGTACCTAGAACGTTTTTTATGGAGTTTTTCCTTTTCTTTAATTTTAGTTTGAACATTTTTTTGCACTAAAATTGATAGAAAGAAATCGAGTTATTGACAAATAATGGAAAATAAACCGAATTTTAGCCACTTTTTCCAAGATGGCGGCCAAATCCGGGCTTTGGGGGTTGTGCAAATTTAGCACGTGGTTCCTTACACTAAACTAAACAAAATAAAATTTATTCTAGCTTGTCCGGATTTGCTCCCACCATAAGCTATTTTTTAATACTTGGCGACTGGCCTATAACTATAAAAACACACAATGAATTTTAAAAGTGATTGTTACTTAACTATATACCCATCCTAAAAATCAATTACCTTAATACCTTTGTTCAAATAACACCATGCCAGACCATGCATTGCAACGTCAATATGACAGTAAATAATATTCATAATATTGATGTCACTAGTTTAAAAAATGAGCGATTCGGAAAATATTCCCTCTGACATT